TTGGGGGGGGGGGGGCCGAGATCGGAAAGGAAGCATTTTCCCCTCCCCGCCCCACCGCGCCAAACCAGCGCTGAAAGAGTCCCGGGATTCCCGGGGAATCCCGATCCTGTTGGATTCCCGGGGAAAAATCGCCGGGCCACTCGGGTGTTGCGGAAGGGTGCGTGTGCGTGCGTGCATGCGTGTGCGTGCGCGTGTTACCTTGCCTCTAAGACAGAGAGCAAAGTCACAACAGAGCCTTACAGCTCAATGCCTGTGCATGTATGCACCTGTATGTGGCTCTATACTATATACCCACTGTTGGCCTGATCCTCGCCTCCTTTTACCCAGAGGCAAACCTCCCATTTGACTTCCTTGGAAGCTGCCTCTGCGTCAGGACAGCAGGATCAGGCCCACTCTTACTGAGCCAGCCCTGCCACCAGCCGCCCGTGCTCATCCCCTCCCGCGGGATCTCTCTCCGTTCAGCACCTGGGGCCGGATCCGGGCACGCGAGTCAGTTGGGCCGCTGCAGTGAGCGAGGCGAGTAGTCTGCCCTGTGGTTTCTGCACCAGGGGCCCGTGTTCGGGGTTGGGGGTCGCTGTGGGGTTGAGCCACGGCCTAGGCGTCCCTGACGGTGGCAGCGAGTGGTTTATGGCGGCGGAGTCCTGCTTCCCGGCTCAGGCTGGGCTCGTGTCCGACGGGCAGATGCGGAGCTGGCGTGAAAGGAAGTGACTGCTTTACAGCAGGTTGGGTAGGCTGCGAATCTCCTGGGAGAACCAGGGCTGGAGGCTGCTCTCGGCCCCTCCGGAGTGAATCCGGAGTCACTCCGCAGAAGCCACGGGCTTGCTTGACTGCCCGAGAGCAGAGTGCGGCTCCTCGCGGACTCGGGTGGCAGCTGCCGCGGCCCCCGGGGCGGCTGGTCCTGCTCTGCGGGGCGTGAATGAGTGGTGCTGCCTCGAGGCTCGCCCCAGAGCAGGGCCCGGAGTCAGGCGGACCCGGCAGGCGGAGCAGCGCCTCTCTCCTGCCGCAGGAGGCAGCCAGGGCAGCGGGGGGTGGGCTCTCACCTCCCCCGGAGTCATCCCTCTCCTTCTGGGTCTCCCTTGCAGTGTCCTCCTGTACAGACAGAAGTTTGTCCCCGGATATCCAGGACCCCATGCAGGACGATCCCAAGGAAACAGACAACTCCACTTCCTCGGACAAAGAGACCACCAACAACGAGAACGAGGAGCAGAACTCGGGCACGAAAAGGAGGGGCCCGCGGACTACCATTAAAGCCAAGCAGCTGGAGACCCTCAAGGCTGCGTTTGCTGCTACCCCCAAACCCACCAGGCACATCCGGGAACAGCTGGCACAGGAGACGGGGCTCAACATGAGAGTTATCCAGGTACAGGAAGCCTCAGCTACAGCCCCCCCCTTCTCCCTCGCCAGCATCCTGCTCTGCTTGTAGGAGGGAATGGGCTCCGGGGGGCAAAGCTAAGGCCACTTACAACCCTTCACTCCTCCTTCCCGCTCTTGTGTATCTCGCATCCATTGGCGTTTAGGTCTCAGCTCACAGCCAGCAACTTTTCCGCGGTGACGTCACAGCCGTGTGTTTGTTGCGTCACAGGTTGTGACGTTCGTCTGTGATTTCAGCCGGAGCAGTGGGCTCTGCGGAGGAGGGGGATATCTTGTCATTTAGAAATATCTATCTATCTAGACCTGCTTGCCTGCCTGTCTAGGTGTATAGTTGTATAAAGAAAAGATCAGCCGCCCCTTTTACTCATTACTCGCTGTCCCTGCCTAAGGCTTTACTAAAACAAGTCAGCAACCTTCCTAGGTGCAGTTTAGGCAAGGGGAAACTGAGGCACGAGGGGGGGAAGGGACCTGCTGGAGATCGGGGAAGGCGGAGCGCAGACCGTGTGAGATTCAGGCCAGGTCTCCTCGCGGGGCCAAACACCACGTGCTGCCACCTGAGCCGGGAAGACAATTTCCTCTTGTCTTCATTGTAACAATAATAATCGGCCACTGTTGTTATTAATGACGGCGGCGCTGGGGGATTTCGGGCTGAAAGCTCTCTAGCCATAATTGTTTTCTTCAGCTGGAGAGTCCTCAGGAGAAAGCCCCGCTCCGTGCAGATGCTTTTAGTACCACATCAAAAGCCGGCTGGTTTCAGTGGAAGGACTTGCTTTCAGGTCCTCGGCCCCGGCCCCTGGTCAAACAAGCCGTGATGGGAGCCCAGAGAAGGGGGTGGGAGGTTAATCTTTCTCTTGGCAGTTTGATCCCGTCTCCTCGGGCAGCGCCCCGAGGGAAGCCCAAGGAAAACCTCCCACCGAGATCCCTGGGCCAGGGCAGGAGCCTCCAGCACTGCCCCGCGCTCAGGGACGCACCTGCCACGGGCTCCCGCGGCCTCCCCGGGCGGCGGGGCCGGGCACGAGGCCGGGGCCTGAGCGAGGCGGGGCCCACAGCCCAGCGCCGGCGCCGGGCAGAGTGTGCGGGGTGCGGGAGGCCGCGGGTTTGGACGGTAACACCCCCCACCCAGTCCTTACGGCCTCTGCAGCCTCCTCCCTGCCCCTGCTGGCAGCTCCACTCCCTGGCAGCAGGATCAGCTGTTCTCCGAGATCCGCTCAGTGCAGCCCTGGAGCCTCCAGGCTGAGCCAGCTGTGGGGTGGGGGGTAGCCAGGCTGTTGCCTGAAAGCGTTTCTTGGAGTGCTTCGTAAATGATACCTTCAAGAAACCCCTGAGAGCAAAGGGGAGATAGAGAAAATGCTAGCCTCAACCCCTACAAGCTCCAAGCCTCGGCCCCTACAAGCCAAGCTGGGAGTGCCCCTCTCCTGAAGGATGGCCACAAGACAATTAAGAAAGCCCATATATTCCCTCTTCCTGGAAGCACAGACCAAGTCCTCCGCTGGACGGAGGCGAGACAGAAATGTCTGTTTCCCCGCAAGCGGGTCGGGGTCTCTGGCCATCCCCTTGCCGCGGCCGGGGCAGGACGGTGGCCTGCCACAGGGGCTGTGGCCCGGGAGGCAGCGATGCTTTAGGCAAACGATGGTCTTGCCTGCCACCCCTGCGACCTGCCCTGGGAGGTGTCGGGATCTGCCTGGCTTCCCGCCCCCCCCCC